GTCTCACCTTATTTTAATCCCACCTCCAATCACGTGCTCTCCTCATGCGGCGGTGGTCGTTGGTCAATATTCGAAGGCAAATTCCCCCTGGCGTCGAATATTTTGCACTGTTGCCATCTGAGAGACTTTTGACGGAAATTTTGTTATTTGACTTGAAAGAGGCCAAGAGAGCGTGCGGTTTTGGGGAGACAACAATTTGAACCATATGACCTAACTTAACCAATTGGTTTAAATAGAGACTACTCCATGGAAAATGCGCGCGTAGGATTTTTATTCACGAGTTGAGAAGTATCAGAAAAGGAACGAGTGAGCGTAGCGAACGAGTGAGTTTTCTGATACTCCTCGACGAGTGAATAAAATCGTGCAAAGCATTTTCCATGGTGTAATTTGTTTATTTTATAGATATTGAGATTTTTGAAAAGAAAAATTGCTGGTCAATTTTATCAGTTTAGGCGCGCATGTTTATAAAACCCATTCAATTGCTATTATAAACTAAAATATAAAGTTCTCTTTGCCTTTTGAAATGTTTAATGAAGATAACAAATCCAAATATAGACGTAAATGACAACTTTAGAGAAAAAAACTTGACTTTGATTTACAAGTCATAAACGTCGTAAATCAGAATGTCACTAAATCATGAAAATATCCAGCGTCATACGCTTTTACGCTGAATAACAATGCAAACCTTAGCCGATATCAGTCAAAAACAGTCTGCAACTTTCATGAAAATTCAAGGCAAACTTACAGTGTACATAACTTAGTCACATCGGAGTCGCTGGATACTCTGATTCTCTTCCACTGATGCTTTTTCGTAATCTTGTCCTTCTTTTGTGCCAAGTCTTAAAATGAACTCACTCAAAAGTTCATTCAGCTCGGCGGGAGGAATTTCAGCTATTTCACTTTGTGCTTCTGCTTTTGTTCGAAGGAACTCTGTAAACAAAGCAACGTCTCGTTTCGTTTTCTTCACTGTGTTCTGGTTTTCTTGTTCTTCAATAAAAGTCTCAATGGAACCTTCCAAGGAAGCAAACCTTGAACTAGTCATGTTGGATTCAAGAGTCGGAGTGAAACTCGCGGGCCACGATTGTGCACTAGTGAATTTTCGTCGTTCGCGTTTGTGATTGGGCGAACGACGTTTTTTAACTAGTGAAAATTCATCGTTCGCGTTTCCCATTGGCTAATGGATTTAACGTACTAGTTTTACGCGGGCTTTTTGTCGTGTGTAAATCTCAGTATCTATGAAATAAAA